CTCGACCGTGTGCCGATAGATGCCAAATCGATAGGGTTTCGAAGCAGTCGGATATCTAGCCACACTGATCAGCTGTGATACAGCGAAACAGGTCTGTATGTGGATGGCCATATTAGTGTGTTTTTTTTTGTATATATATATATATATATATATATAAGAAACGAATGATTCTATTGAACATAATATCGGTTGCTTTTTTTTCTATTTCATTTAAGTAATAGATTTACAACATACTAGTCCAAATCCAGAGCTTTCTCACTCCTGTTGGAGGAACCCATCCATGATTGACCATGTCTTCAGGGGTGTAGCCGTACTCCTCTCTCTCTGTCTCTCTCTCTCTCTCTCTCTCTCTCTATATATATATATATATATATATATATATATATATATATATATATATGAAGAAATATATATATGTGAAGAAAAATATACTGAAAAAACAAACAAAAATCCTAATATGCGATTATACTGTTTTAATGTTTAATGTCAACGTCGGACGTTTCGGTCTAATAGATCATCTTCAGGACATATTCATAAAACATAATTAACATAGACCATATACAATTCAACATGAAAAAGACGATGGACATAAAAGTAATACCAATCCAAGCAGATAACTGAAATCTTTTATAAGATCATCATTCCGTTTAAATATGATCACGTCGGCTTCACGTGGGCGATGTTCTGAAAACGTATTCCTAAAATTTGAGTATTTTGAATGAAAAATGAAAAGAATTTTATTTTGATCTAAAACTTATATGTACGTTTGTCGAGCATTAATCTTGCTAGAAAAGGGAAATATTAAAGAAGCCAGGTCTAGTGTTCACCGTGCGTGAGATAGATATTATGCCTGCTTCATAAATCCATAAATTCATAAATCCATAAATCATGATCTTATAAAAGAAATTCAGTTATCTGTTTGGATTGGTATTGCTTATATGTCCATCGTCTTTTTCATGTTGAATTGTATATGGTCTATGTCAATTATGTTTTATGAATATGTTCTGAAGATGGTCTATTAGACCGAAACGTCCGACGTTGACATTAAACATTAAAACAGCATAATCGCATACTAGGATTTTTTTTCAGTATATTTTTCTTCATACTGTCGGATCTATATCCATATATTTGCTCACACACACACACACACACACACACACACACATATATATATATATATATATATATATATATATATATATATATATATATATATATATATATATGGGGGTGATGGTTGTGTGTGTCTGTGTATGTGTGTGCTGCAAACCATAACTCAACACAATTGATGGACACTATGCAACGTCTAATCGATTTGATTAAAGAAGGATTGTGTTAAGTTTCTTGACAAAAATAGGAATTGTTGAAAAAGAAATATTTCTCCGTTAGCCTGTAGACATTTACTGATGTGCATACGAGGGGTTGGGTTGTACACTATCAAATCTCTAATTGAATGAATTCTATAATTTAGTCCTGGGTATGAAGATAAACTATATCCGGCAGCAAGGCCTATAATCGGAAAACTGGAGGTTCTGAGGAGCATGGAACTACCTCTTAATCTCCCCATGTAAAGCCCTAAGACACAAAGGGTTACAGGGTGTGGAAGAATTAGGAACAGAATCATTAATAATGAGCGGAAAGAGAAAAAGGTAATCAGGAGGACAATTGATAGCGATTGATATTGCATTTAATTCTTTGCAGATTAAATTGGCTTGAAAGCAAGCTTGGAGTCGGAAGGTAGTTCCACAAGCGAGATTCACCCTGTACAAAATCCGGGGAGGGGGAACTCGAGGTAGAGGGTTATATTAAGCGATTATGCGGATAGGGAAAATAACGGTTAAGCCTAAGTTAAGTTAAGATCGTAGTAGTCATGGAAATCATTCTCTTGGGAGTTTGTTCCACACGTCAGTGGTTTGCTGCAAGAAGCTGTTTGAGTGGAACTTACTTCTCACCAATGGAATACGGAGTGAATTTGGATGGTTTACTACTATGTAGGAGGCATGGCGTGTCTTTGCCGTGAAACATCGACCTGGTGAAACAATGGAATGTAGTTTGTTTGAGCACTTTTCATGGAAATAGCGATAGAGCAGTGATAGTCTTGCCACAATTCTTCTGTGAGAGAGGAATTGGAGAATAGAAAATAATTTGTCACCCACTCGGACTCAATCGAAACTGGAGAGTGACGACTTGGCAGCTACCGCCCAAATAAAAAAAAAGAAGAGCACGTATAAGTATATTTTAAGTCAGTTTTTGCCAAAGCCTGCTTCAATGTAATTCGTTTACTTCGCCGACCTGATATACAGGGGTTGGACAAAATAATTGGAACAGTTGCAAAATCTACTCCTATATTTCAAAGACCTATTATATTTGTAATTGCAGCTTATATCTATTGTAAATACATTTATTTATCTAATTTACTGTCTTTGTCTTATTTATTTTTAGAATTTAATAAAATTTAAGCTAAATGCGTGACCTCTCCGAGTTCGAAAAAGAGAAAATTATTTGAGCTCGCATGGCAGGAGCCTCGATCACTAAAGTTGCTGAACTGTTTGGTTTTTCAAGAGCTACCATATCAAGAACACTAATGCATTTCGAGAAACGCGGCAAAACCTCTAGCAACCGTAGCAATTCGGGTCGGACTTGCAAACTTACTGACAGGGACTGACGTGCATTGAAACGCAATGTGGCAAAAAATCATCGGACAAATGCAGCCAAAGAGACTGCTGGGTTGAATAACAATCTGAATAGTTCACTTTCTACTAAAACTGTTCACCGTGAGCTCCATAAGGCTGCATATCATGGACGAGCCACCATAAGGAAACCTCTTCTCTCCACTCGCAACACTCAAAAGAGGTTGAAGTGGTGCAGAGATCACAATGCCTGGTCTGCAAACCAATGGAAGCAAGTCATATTCTCAAACAATTCCAGTTTTTCTCTTTTTCCAATTTCAAAGCGAGTTTATGTGTGGAGGCAGCCCAAAAAAGCTCAAAACCATGACTGCCTTCTTCCAACAGTGAAGCGTGGAGGTGGATCAGTGATAGTTTGGGCCGCCATATCATGGAAATGTCTCAGTCCAATAGTTGCCCTGCATGGTAGAATCAACAGAAAAGATTACCTGAACATTTTGGAAGATCATGTTCATCCAATGGCCAAGACTTTATTCCCTGATGGTGACTGCATCTTCCAAGACGATAATGCTCCAATACATACCGCTCGAGTGGTTAAGAATTGGTATGAAGAGCATGAAAGTGAACCTCCCCAATCTCCAGATGTCAATATTATTGAACATTTGTGGTGTATTTTGGAGCAACAAGTTAGGAGCCGCTATCCTCCACCGTCGTGTCGTAAATAGCTGGAGAAGGTTTTAATGGAAGAATGACTGAAAATTCCTCTGGATGAAGTCAGGAAGCTGTATGATTCCATTCCTAGGCGCATTAAATCTGTATGTGAGGCTAAAGGAGGACTAACTTCATATTAAATAAATTTTCTTTGAATTTAACAAGTGTTTCAATTATTTTGTCCAACACCTGTATAATCTATACCATAAAACCCGGCAACTCCCTACTGAAGTTATTTTGAAGCTTCTAACTACTTGCTCATAAGACTAGTACGTCTAGCCACTGACCAAATCACTAAAATAAAGATAAAAGCTTTTATTTTGTTTACTATAAAACCTAGTTGGTCTTCTTGTTTTCCCTTTACGTTTCTTTATCTTATTTCTTTTGTCACACACGTGACAGGGGGGTGGTTTTCTATTACGTTTGTTTCTCTATTTTGAATTCAGAGTTGGTCTTTCTAGACAAGTTGATAACGAAGGGTAGTTAGCCCAGTCTGCTCTGTTCTATGACCCACACTGAATTCAGACCTTTCCTGAAGGGAACTGTCTGATCTAGAATTTGAAATTCGACTTAACCGTTTCCTTTATCTAGCTGTTAATCCCGCTCACAGAGTTAAAATCTTTGACAGCACATCTGCACCAATGCGCAGCACACTTCAAAGTGATCAAGTTACTCTTGCAAACCTATTATCTACCACAGGTCTTCCAAAATTACACAGTGCCAGAAAACCCTTGTGCAGGAAAAGATTTTTCGCAAAGGACTAATAAGTTAACCTTTACAAAATACACATGCAAAAAGGAAAAAAAAAAATTAACATCTACTAACTCCCCCACAATTATTTTCACAAACTTTTCTGGCTTACGGCCGTATCACTTTCATTAGTTCTTGTTCGATTACCAAAGTTAAGCAAGTTAGTATCTAGATAGTTGGCCGTTCGGAAATACCAGGTGCTCTCAGACTGGACGTTCGGGTAGTGCAATGAGAAATGGCTCGGAATGAGAAATCGGAGAACCGGGTTCCAATTTCAGTTGTATTAGTTATATTCATTTACGCGCAAATACCATTGAGAAAGGTATGAATCCACCTCTTCTCCCCACAGCTATGGGTTAATTAGTAGGACTTATATCATTAAATAATTATTATCTCCCCCAAAATTCTTACAATCTAATAACATTTTCTGGCTTTAAATAATCTGCAAGAGGTTGATAAACCGTAAGAACCAAATCAAATCAAAACAATTTTCTAAAATTATGCTCTGTTCAACAAAAAAGTAATTCATTAATGAATAGATAATAAAAATTTTATTTAAATCAGATAATTGCCTGATTTAAGGTACATTTTAAAACGGAGAAAGCGTTTGTTTTACTACCGTTACCAAAAGTGTGTAAACACTCTGGTGATATTACGAAATGTTATATAAATACATATGCTAATCATTGTCTGACAGAAAAGTATGAAAACTGTAGCAGTTTATTTACTTTTCTTTTTTTCTTTTTTTTTCTTGTTTTTTGTTGTTTTTTTTTTGTTTTTTTTTTTTGGCACGTCAGGGTTTATGTTCAATATTGGTATTTTGTGTTTAAAATAGTGTTCTTTCTTCCTTTTTGGCACGATCCCCGTTATGGCATGAAATAAATAATACAAAGACCTGCGAAACCCATGGACTTATTCAAAAGCCATAACGTTTCGACGAGCCAAAGGATCTCGTTCAAGAAAACCTCGTTTTCGTTCAGGAAACCCCAGTGTTTCGCGGAGCACGTGGTTATCGTTCAGGAATGCCCTAGCGTTTCGACGAGCTCGTGGATCTCGTTCAGGAAACCTCAGCGTTTCACCGAACCAGTGGATCTCGTTTATAAACGCCAGCGTTTCACCGAGCCCGTGGATCTCGTTCATAAACCCCAGCGTTTCGCAGAGCCCGGGGATGAACCAGTAACTGAAAAACACTACCGTTTCGCCGACATGTTTTTAATGGGGATGAACCAGTAACTCTTTAGAAAGTTCTTTAGTCGCTAGTTCATCTACAGTAAATTTGCGTCCAGGTTCTTACAACGTGTCCATATTATTGACAGATCTTCTATTATCACAATGTGGGATATTTAATAGCAAAGGTGATCGAAACCAAAAAGACAAAAAAAGGAGACTGAAAGAGATCGCATAGATTATATACCCAAAACAATTAAATTTAAAATTCTTAGCGTCTCTCTTCCGTGCGCATGTCTAATCGCACCAACATAAATTATGTTCTAAATGACGAAAGGCATCACACAAAAACCTTTTCCATTTTGTCATACATCTTTCCCCACAAATTGTTCTTGATATATAAAAATTTAAATATCTTTATCTTATATGCGTTCATACGTACACACCCACAAACATATGCACATTACAGTTCAAAAATTTGAAGCCACCCCCAGAATTAGCACTGGATGAACTTGTCAGAAGAGTGAAAAAAAAATGAAAAAGAGGCTCTTAGAGTCATTGAAAAAAAAAATGGAATTAATTTTCAAACTTATATTAGGTTGGTGCAAAAATAATGACGTAATAATGTCGTTTTTGACGTATATTTTAACGTCAAAAAACGACATTATTACGTCATTATTTTTGCACCAACCTAATACTTTGAGAAACTTTTGCTACGATTGCTAAACATTTGTGCTGCAGTAATCAAAGCTATAGGAAGATATTTTGACGAGAGCAAAATGTAATCATAACATGCTTTTTTTTTCCTTTTTGTCAGAAAATTTCTAATAAAAAAAAATGTCTCACATTTCTTTAACCACGTAAGATATTTTCTCTTATTTAAAATACAAAGCAACTATTTTGGGGGTCAACTTTTGAACTGTAGTGTACGTATGTGTACGTGTGTGTGTATGTGTACGTGTGTGCGTAAAGATATCATTATTTGTTGGTCATGTCACTTCGCAGAAGACACGAGAATGTATGTCACCATAGAAATGCAAAAGAACAAATCTAAAAATTCCAGGTGCATGAATAAAAATTGGTTACATTGGAGAATCAAAACCTGTGTGATGCCTACTGACCAAAGAGAGACATGCTGTTGCCAATGTGGGCGGAATGGTATGCTTGCTGTCCGGTAGAGATCCTGGAGTAATCACGGCTTGTTTCTCGTACGACATAGATAACTTATCCGGATTTAACATCACAAACGATGTTTGTTTGTTTTTTTAAATTGAGAATTTTTTTAAAATATTAAAGAGGCTGGGAAATATCTTTAAAAATTTGAGAATTTTAATCTTGGAACTAGCTTGATTAATCATTCATTTCAAAAGGCTGATAGTAACAGGTAAAAAATCCGCGAAAAGTAGTGCCGAATAAGACTTATGAAGAAATATAGAAATTACTAACCTATAGAACACGTTCGATATAGAGGAGTCCAAGAGTTTTTATTTTTAAGTGCATTGTCAAACTTTACTCTATTGGAGGTATCACCATTTCAAAAGCGATCCCAGATGACACCATAATTGTTATGAAAACAACGTACGGTGTTTACACTATTTACATTGTTCGGACTGTTGTCCTCATCTTTATTGTTATACTAAACTACCCGTGAGCCGGTTCAAGTTATAAAACATTGAAGTTGATTTCAACGTTCCATTGAAATGAAAGTTAAATTTTATTATGATTCAGTAAAATATTTCAATTCGTTTCTATCATACGTTCTTTCAATACGTCTGAATTTCGAATCGAAGCCTTTATTTAGTCCACTCGTGGTAGGTTGTTCTAGTTCCACGTGCCATGCCTTTTCTAGATATTTCAGTTTCAGTTAGATCCCTTTAGTAACACAACTCTCCAAGTTTTTGTTCACCTCTGCTGTGGCCAGGTATTGAACTCACAAATCTCTCGGTCAAGTCACCGGATTACTTCAACCAACGATTTTATCCGCCATTTGTGCTTGGGGAAATAACTGAAACTGAGAAACCCCCAAAAAAAGAAAAGACATGGCGCGTGCAACTAGAAAAATCTACCCTCGGGGACTAAACAGGTTTGGTTCGAAATTCCAACGTATATCTCCTGAAGGCCGAGCGTACAACATCCGAAATGTCGTGAATATGACGATAAAGATGAGGACAACAATCAGAACGATGTAAATAGTTACAATACCTCATTTCAGAGATATAGACAGATACGGTTTACGAAGCCCTAAGGTGAGATCGACTGAGTGAATGGGCAGAGTACAACAACAGTAAATGCAAAAACGTATTTGGAGTCTGACATATGAACACTTAATAAGGTTTCTAATGTTCATCAACGAACTTCCTGATGTCACCAGTTCTCAATTCGGTATTTATGTTATCCTGTCTTAATCGTAAGTCTGATCGTTTCGATAAGTTCAAATTGGCAGCTGATCTCAAAATTTACCTATAATCTCTTGTTAACTGGGGCAAAGGATGGCTTGCTAATTTTAACGCCTCCAAAACGAAACTGCCCTTTCTTAATCATTTGAGAGAACCTCTTTTGCCTACCATGGTTGGTGCTAACTTCCAAGAGAGTGACTTCTCGAGCTGACATGAACTGGAAAGATTACATTGATTCAATTGCTAGAATTGCTGCTTGGAAATTTGGTTCACTCTGTCGGACTAAACAATTATTTATCTTGTCCGAGGCTATCTTACACAATTATAAGTCTACCATTCGTCCTTGCTTTGGTCCTGACCTAGTATCTCGATTTCAGTCACTTTCCCACCAAGTAATGTAGCTTCCCCGTGCCTTTTTTATAAATATTTTCATGGTAATTGTTCTGATAAACTTTTTCTGGTACCTAGATTTTATGACTTTAAACGCAGTACTAGATTGGCAGCATGGTCTCACTTTACAATTGGAATGTCTACATGTAACCGCAATATTCTATCCTAACAGCTTCTTCCATCGCCCTTCTCGCTTGTGAAATTCTATTCTGGATTCTTGCTTTCAACTTTGACCTTCAAAAATTTAAATGCAGTGTTAATCGTTATTTCCTGTTTTCTTAATTCCTTCCTTTCATTGTTCTCTCTCCTTAATAATGTGTTTTTTTTTTACTCACTCTCTCACACTCAGCAACCTCTTGCGTCTTGGTGGCTTTATTGCCTTCACTGGTGTGAATTTTTTTTTTTTAAATACATATTTTGATAATAAAAGTAGTAGTAGATAGGTTCGCCTACTGTCCGGTTCAGACTCCTCCCCTTTCTTTTGAACAGAAGTAGAGTTTTGTCCCTTGTTTCCTGTTTAGGATTGAATTTCTGGTTCCTTCTAAAGTCTTTTCATGCCATTTCACTCCAAGTAGACCCTTACATCTTAGTGGCATTATCGCCTGCTTGGGGTGAATTGATTATACACACACACACACACACATACACACACCCACACATACACACACACACACACACATATATATATATATATATATATATATATATATATGTATGTATGTATGTATGTATGTATGTATATAACATTTTATTTGCCATTGTTATTGGCATCATAGAAGTTTAGTATTTATCTTGAAGTCGCATCGGAATTTGGAAAACAATCTTTCAAACTGCAAAACTATTAATACAGTCATATTGCGTTTATTATAGAAAATAGTGCTCAACTGTTACATCATACTTATCCTCCTGTATGGCAGTGAGTGATCGACAATTTCCTTGCAGATAAAGAAGAGACTCTAAGAGATGTGATTCTACAGAAATATGATGGGAATACCATAGACAGAACACGTAAGCAACGAGGGAGTTCTAAAGAAAAATTGGTAGTGGAAAGAGACAATTAAAATCAGAAACAGGGTTGAAATTACTGAGACGCATTATGAGGAAGGACGACTTAAAGATTTAATACGCATTGCACGTACTGAAAGATGGAGGAACGGAAACAGGACAGTGAGCAATTTAACTACTGAGTTCGAGTGAGTGGATATCAGAACAGGAACAAAATGGCAGGTAATGAGTCAAACATTACGCTACAAAGGACAAGAAGTCGTGAAGAGACATGATCGCGCACTTCCTTAAATAACACCGTATATACCCAAGTACAGTGCGAGTTTTTGTGATCATTTTTTTACGCAAAAAAAGTAAATAAATAAATAAAAATAAGTGGTCGCATTATACACAGATAATTTTTTTGAAGATCATATATTTTCGGTGACCGGTTGCACAATACAGAGGTAATTTTTTATGGAGGGGGTTAAAATTCATGCATTTTCGGTGAACGTGACCTACCTAGGCTATCGACCGGTTCACACTCCTCCGCTGTCTTTTAAACGGAAGAAGAGATTTGCTGTTCAAGACTGGGTTTCCGGTTCCGTCTTGAGTCTATTGCTAACGTCTCCGCCTGAACTCAAAAATTTTATTTACAAATTATTTATTTATTTTTAATTTTTTTAATACTTTTTTTTCTCTTCTCAGTAGGAGTAGGTAGGTTCGCCTATTACTCGGTTCAAACTAATCCTCAGTCTTTTGAACAGGAGTAGAGGTTCATCCCTTGTTCCCTTCTTAGGACTGAGTTTTTGATTACTTCTAAAATCTCTTTCACTCACAGTAGCCCCTTGCAACCTATCGCCTTGCTTGAAGTGAATTGATTTAAAAAAATGTTTATTTTTCCACCATTTTGTGATAGCTTTGCACAAAAAAGAATGAAGACCATTTATTCGCTATAAAATATGCCCAGGATGATGCCAAGTACTGCAATATTGGACTGTAAGACTACTAGTATTGCTCAGAAGTACTGGGATCACATTATACACAGCCTATATAAGAATAATCATTTTTCCCAACAAAATTCAGAGGTCACATTATAGCGATTTTCCAAGCGTAGCTTGGATGTGGCACAAGGCCGAAAGTAAGGGGCACACAGTGAGGATTGAACTCACTACTCAGTCTAGCGAGACAATCTTGCTAACCATTACACCGCCTCGAGGTGCCCAATAGGGATTTTACAAGAGTAAGGTTAGATGTGCCACAAGGCCGAAAGCATAGGCCACCCAGTGAGGATCGAACTCACTACTAGCGAGACATGATTGCTAACCATTACACCACGTCGGGGTACTCAAGCGATTTTCCAAGCGTAACTTAGATGTGTCACAAGGCCGAAAGTATGGGGCACCCAGTGAGGATCGAACTCACTACTCAGTCGTAATTGTTCTAGCGAGACAAGCTTGCTAACCATTACACCACCTCGAGGTTGCCCCAGAGGTCGCATTATATATGAAGTAGGTGTATACACGAGTATATATGGTAATTCTATATACACCTGTAATTATCATTATCTAGTGAGTCCATGCCACCTGGTGTATGTCCTGCAACTGAAGTTGTAAAGCCAGCCAAAAACATATTTCTGTATAACACAATTCTGTCATTACATCGCATACCAAAACACTGCGTAGCTGCATTAACACAAAAATCAATAAATAAGACACTTACCTGGATATCGATGTCCCAGGTATCCAGCGCAACGGGCAAACATCCAAGGGTTGAAGAGAGTGTGATCGCGATACAGGCTCATATTAACGGGTCCCATTGCTGCTGCGGCCGCGGCAGCAGCCGCCGGCGACGTCGGGGGTAAGACGCCCGTCCAGGTTGGGGCCGTGCCGGCCGCAGCAGCGGCAGCTGCAGCTGCGGCCACAGTAACCGCTGAACCAAGTGGATGGTTGCATAATCGAACCGGAGTAAAGCCGGACGCCGTACCCCGGTAATAATCTTCCGTATTCTGTACACATTTCAACGGATAATGGAGTCCTGCGCTGCTTCCTGTTGTACCGGTGGCCCCGACGGGATTCGAACTCGGGACAGGTGGCGAGTGGTGATGGTGGTGATGGTGATAATTCTGTTGTTGATTTTGTGATTGTTGTGTATGGTGATGTTGGTGGTGAGAAAACCTCTCTTTGTCCTCTGTTAGAAGAGATTTCTCTATGGAGTGTGTTACCAGCCCTAGAGGTGTCTGTTGTTGTGGGTAATGGTGATGGTGGGCGACTGACACTAGGCGACTGCTAACCGGACTACCATCGGATTTACCAGTTCCGTTAATATTGTTATTGTTATCATTATTATTATTATTATTATTATTTGTAGCGGTAATGTTATTGTTAGAGGTATTGCTTCTGCCACCGTCCGAAAGAGGAGATGTAATTGGCGATGGAGAGCGACTCGTACCATTCAGACTGTTCTGTTTATTGCAATTATTATTATTATTATTATTAGAGTGACTAGTAATAGTAGTAGTAGTACTACTACTACTGTTGCTACTTGAAGTGCACATATTGTTCACATTTCTGTTGTTACTGCCGGAGTAATTGTTACTGTTGTTTATACTAATACTATTCTTACCGTGGTGATGTGTGACGTGGTTATTGGTGTGGTCAACGGAACATTTCAAAGTGTTTTTCGAAGATAATGACAATGACGTGGTTAGCGATGTCGACGTGACGGGGCCGCCGGAGCTGGCAGTGTGGTGGTTCCCGTTCGGGGACACAGACGAAGAGGATAACGAAGATGACGATGAAGAAGGGGAAGATGCTGAAGACGATGAGGATGACAAGGAGTTGGCGCCCAAGGGAAGAAGAGGGCTCGTTAGGGCCCCGTTGCTGCTGACGTGACCCACGGGCGGGGGCGGTGGAGGAGGTGGCAACGGTGGATGGTGGTGAGCTGGCTGGGAACAGACGCTGTCTCGTTTGTTGTTTCGTTCTAGATCGGTCCCAATGAGCGATTCGATCGTGAAACCGCGCGATCTACGCGGGTTTTCTGAGCCCGGCACAGCCGTTACGGCCCGGAAGGGGATTTCAATTACCATGGCGTTTGAATGTCCTTCCTTACAGGCTCGGTAACTCGATTTATCGATTTCTTGAACGATTCTCTCTGAAGTGTGTATCGATATGCGAATAGTTTGTAAAGAATGACTCAGTAAATATGTATAATGAAATGTGTGTGTATTAAATAGAGAGGAAGATAGCTTATCATGAATAGTAGGGACGTCGTATTTCGACAATTTGTGTCTTTTTTTCCCTCTCTAGATCAATATATTTCCCATCATTCAGTTACACTGACGAACTTCATTAACCAGCGGATTAAAAGGAACTTCTGACATTTATACAAACGCTGTGCATGTGCTTTGATCATTTCTATAATAATTTATGGTTTAAGAAAATATCTGCTAAACAATTTTCTGACCAACAATATCGAATAAGTTATGTGCATGCGCTGTTTTGACAATAAACATGCATTTACACATTTAGAAATGTCTTTTTATACACAAACAAATAATGCATGATTGTGTTTTCTTTACATTTACAATAAACCGAATCTGAAAAAGTCGCCATATTTTTTTCCATATATAAAGTCTTCTTTTTCGTTCTTACGTCACATTGTATCATTCCAATTTTTTTTAAAATAATCTTCGAATCTTATGAAACTAACAAATAACCAAACTCTGACATATTACTCATCAATATTAAAGTCAATGATATAAAATTTTAATTATTATAAATTAAAAATAAAATTTCTTTCAAAATTGAACTGAAATATTAATTATGTCTGTCGAAGAAAACAATATGGATTTTTTTTTAAATTACAAATACTTCTCAATTTTTTTTAATATGACAGCAATCATTACATCGTTATAATTATTACTAGTAGTAAAATCCCCGGTGTCAGAAATTCATTAAATATATTTTTACAGTTTTCTATCACTTTGAATAAATTGTAACAATTATGCCTACTACATAAGATTCGCACATATACTTTCAAAATACTTTTTATGTATTTAGCCTTATTTCTATGCAATTATGGCAGTTTTGACTTATTAATTTATATATATATATTATTTAGTTATGTATAAGTGATTATTTGTATGACTGGATCTTACATCAATTATATAACATTACAATAATAAGAGCAATCATAACATTACAATAAGTTAGAGGAATTGTTCGTTACCGTGCGAAGGCGAATTAATTAAAATTAGCATTTTTGCTTCATTTAGGAATCGACTGTATATGTTTGTGTGTATTTTTTAAGTACTTTCTATTATTGATTGCATTAAATACATTAGATATTTACACGATGTTTTAAATATTTATTTAATCCTCAGCTAAATTATGAGCGTATATTTTTTTTCGTCGAGTGTTTAAAAACCTACATGTCTTGATATTTAAATCAAAATAGAAGTCGATATTATCCGAGAAAGTTACCTTAAATAATGACAGAATTCTCAAACTGGAAAATACAACTGTTAAAAGAAAGAATAGTTTTATCAACGTGCTTATTAATTTTAAGGGCAGTTGCAACTAAATTTTTCAACTGACTTAAAAAAAAAAAAAAAACGTGTTTATTCTGATTGCTTCCTGAACGTTTTTTATTTTATTTTATTTTCTATTGGATATTGGTATGGCGTTCTTATCTAGCCCCTTAAGGCAAAAAGCTTGGCTGTAAACTGCTATACTTAGTGCTTTCATCTTGTTTAGAAATGTTTCCCGATGAACAAATCGTTTTTTCATAAGAGAGGTCGTTGTTCCCGCCAAAACGTTTGAATAATATCCAAGTTGAAGCTTGTGACACGTCATCAAAGAAATTTATTAGCCAAATAAAAGCTGTCAAAAAAAATTCGACAGATTTGAGTTTATATTTTAACTTATTTTCAAAGAACTTATCTTTTTTCAAAAAAAAATATAGTGCATGTAAATAGTGTATGTAAATAAAGATATAGATGTACAATCATATGATAATTAATATGTTGATGTTAATGTATATTTGAAGTTCTTCAATGTTGTCTGTTGAACGTAATATAGTTTTGCTTGTATATAATTTATAAAGAAAAAATTATACTCTGTCAAAAGAAAATCCGACAGTGAAGAGGAAGTAAGCACAATGCGCGCGTTGAATCAAAAGGTAGTTTTTTTTTTATCCGATATGGATGATTCGGTCGGTGACAGGAGAATACGGGGACGAAAATCGATGCTTGTGTAGCTCGTGTTCAATCATTTGAATATCCATTGATAACCCTTAAATAAAAGACAAAGAAAAATATAAACACACATTCACATAATATTTTTTTCATTTTATAACATAGAGAAAACATACTGCATATATATATATATGTGCATGAGTGTGTGTGTCTGTGTGCATATATACATATATATATATATATATATATATACACACACACACACACAGAGAGGTTGCGATGGGTAAATTGTCGCCATTTTATTTTTTTATTTTTTTTTATTTCGCGCATGCGTGTTGCTTGTTTTTTATTTTGTCGGCTGCACAGTATCGTAGAGCTTGTTAGGCACTGTCTGTGAGAAAAGGACCACCATGACGCAATACACCCCGCCAGAAAAAAGGAAATGACATGTTGTACTGCTGGACATTCGCGCCGGAAGCTCCAATACGAAAATTCCAGAGTATTTGTGTGTCAATCTGAGGATAGTGCAGAGGATTCGTAAAGAGTTAGATGAATACAATGGTGATTAAAAGGGCGTTTTGAGTAATCACTAGGAATGGTGACGTTATGCCTCCATTCATCTTCCCACAGATTCTTAAACTCAACACAGAGGCCTACATTAAATGCTTTGAGGAGGTAGTCGCACCCTGGATCAAGAGGGTAGCTGCTGGAAGACCCTATGTCTGATAACAGGACTCTGCAACATGCCACACAAGGAGGAGAAAACAGTCATGGCTGTCAGACAATTTGTGCGACCACATCACCCCTTACATCTGGCCACCTAACTCTCCAGACTGCAACCCCCTCGATTATTATGCGTGGGGCTCAGTTGAGTGAGAGACCAACAAAACTTCTTGTAACACCAAAAATGAACTGAAAGCAAGAATTATGGCAGCATTCACCAACTGCTACATAAGAGTTCTCTTATGTAGTGATGGAATCATATTTTTAAATAAATAATTATATTTATGGTCTACTTTTGTATCGAACACTATTTTTTAAAAATAGTATGAGATCTCTTATGTAGCGATGGAATCATATTTTTTAAACAAATGATTATATATATATATATATATATATATATATATATATATATATATGTGTGTGTGTGTGTGTGTGTATGCGTGTATATATATATATATATATATATATATATATATATATATATATATATATATATAAGTTTTAAGGCATAGATTTATGGGTAAAAATGTTCAATATCAAAGATAGAGCGGATGTAGATATAAAAGCAGACATTGATGTCAACATGAGAAAAATAAAGAAAACAGTATCAGCCTACAGCAATAAATCCCAAACCTAAACTTTAGAGGAGAAAATAGCCATAACCATAGTCTCAAACTAACACAAATTAGAAAATAAACGATCAGAACTTATCTCAAATTGCAGATCCGAAGTTAGGCGCCTCAACAGATTCGATAAGAAATTAGCATACTATGATGAAAAAATAATTCATAAAACTTAAAAGAAAAGTTTATGGTTAAAAAAAAACTTTGTTAATTTTAAGAGAATAGAAGAAAGTATTTTTATACTTTTTAGAACGTTCGAAATTTGGTTAAAAATGAAGTTTTTTTTTCTTGCGTCAGCGGGGGTAGGGGTGACAATAGATCAGTATGGGAAAATTTAGCGTTTTTTTTTTTTCGGTAAAAAATACACTAATTTGAAAATTCTCGTAAAAATCAAATAATTGTCTGATTTTAATGAAACTTTCAGCACTTATTCACAAATGAATGAAATTATTTCAGAAATGTTTCTTCTTTACAAAATCTTTGTAAAGACATTTTTTTTACATCTGTTCCCCCCCTCCCCAATTTATTTAATTTTACAAAATTTCAAGAAATTAATTTTTGTACAGCTTAATGTTTATATTAGTTATACACAGAACTTGGAAAATTTACATCAAGACTTTTGTAAAGACGCTCCCCCAGTTGACCGAAAATCTGCTTTGAATCGTAAAATAAAAAAAAATGCAATAAAATTATGACATTATTTAATTAGAAAAGCTTTTAATTGCTTTTTATGTATAAAAGATATATTATGGACAATATTGCCTTAAAAATATTTTTCGATGAATATGAATTCTTACAAGAATTGTTTACATTAATTAGACATATTAATTAGAATAATTTATAAAGTAAAATCTTTTACATTTCTGTATTAATTTGTACCGATTAGATGATATTTTTATTTAGTCAAAACTATATTTACTAATCATAAATGGAAAAGTTTAGTACAATTCATTGAACACCAATATTTTAAAAAGAATGTGTGTGTGTTTGTGTAAACGTACCGATTTTTTGTAAATACAGACGTCAATGAACGACATTATCAAAAAATAATAACTAAAGCATTAATAAACAATAACTAAAAAAGATTTTTAAAAACTTCCAGCTGTGAGTTAAGCCGTCAACACCTTAAATAAACATATTTCAAAGTTAAAAAATGCATTTCTACGATATTTTAAACTAAAAGTAATATTTTTGCCAAACTAGATTAATTAAATGATAAATCAGCTAATATTCCCAAAATAAAGTTTCAGAAGTATATTTTTATTTTTGAAATATTATTTTAATAAAGAGAATTACATTGTGCTAACAGATGGCTAAAAATGTCGATAAAATCAGCCATTTTTAACGATTAAAAAAAAAACTCCTTCCAGTTAATTTTTAATTTAAATTACTTTTGAGATACAATGTTTTGCTCACTGGAAATATTAAATTTAATAAGATTTAATTAGATTAAATTTAATCTAATAGCTTGAAAGCAAAACTAAAATAAAAGCTTCAATAAAGATTTTTCATTTTTTAAAATTCATTTTAAACTACGTGTATCGC